AAAAAGGGCAAAAATCCCCCATATTTTCCTATATGTAAAAGAGGTGGGAGGAGGAGGAGGAGGAGAAGGAGGAAGTGGGGGTGGAGGAATTTGCTTAATTGAACAGAAACCAGTGTTATGACCTGCTGAATGATTGAGGGGCAATTTGATAGATATTTTTCTATATTTTGGCAGAAATGAGCAAATAAACGGACAAAACTAAATTCTTACTTTAAGATTTCAGGAAACAATAAGTTGTCAAATGGACAGAAAAAAAATGCACAATCTATTTTTCCCTTTCTGTGATGAGAGGAGGGGAAAAATACGGAGATTTTTTTAGCAAGAGGAACATCTGCCAATTGTTATCCTAGTCAAAGGGCTTTACTTCTGCAAAGCTGGGTAGATTTGGAACTTTGAATTACAGATTACTCCAAAGTTTCACGATTATTTATTTATTTATTTATTTTATTTTGTCGCATTTCTATGCCGCCCAACTCCCAAGGAAGGCTTACAGCAGAGAATAAAACAATGCAACAATATCCCATACAAAAGTTAAAAGAAGACATTAAAACATTAAAGATCACTATAACGAGATCAACGGCCCCAGGCCTGCCGGAAGAGCCAGATCTTCACTGCTTTCCGGAAGGCCAATAGGGTGGGGGCGGTCCGGACTTCAGGAGGTAATTGGTTCCAGAGAGCCGGGGCAGCCACAGAGAAGGCCCTCCCCCGCCGGCCCGCCAGCCGACATTGTTTAGCTGACGGGACCCAGAGGAGACCGACTCTGTGGGATCTTACCGGTCGCTGGGAGCTATGTGGTAGAAGGCGGTCTCGAAGATAGCCTGGTCCTGAGCCATGTAGAGCTTTAAAGGTAATAACCAACACCTTGAATTGCGCCCAGAGACAGATAGGGAGCCAGTGCAGCTTGCGGAGAATTGGTGTAATGTGGGTGTATCTAGGTGCACCCTCTATAACTCGCGCAGCTGCATTCTGGACCAACTGTAGTCTCCAAACACTTTTCAAGGGTAGCCCCATATAGAGCGTGTTGCATTTCATTCACATTCAATATAAAAAAAGAAAGATATAGCAGTTGAGCTTGCATGTCTGTATAATAATTATCCCTCTGTCTGTTTCTTAAATAAGCAAGCTTACATCTTACTCTGGCTTTCCTACTACAACAAAGATTAGTAAAGAAGGTAATAGAGGTTGATAAGATTCCTTGGTTATTAAAAAAAATCAGGAGTGCCATCTGTTCACCAAGCATATCTCCTCTTGACAGCATTTTAAATATTGGTTTTTTTTATGTTGCCCAAATTTTGCTGAGTCAGGGGATCATGGAAAAGGTACTTTAAAAACACCCACTTCTCTGCCAGTCTAGGATCCCTTTTGAAGCCATCCAGACTTACTTGCTAGTCTTCTTCCAATTTGTGTGTGTGTGCCAGTTTCACTATAGTAGCTATATTTCCTTTCCTGATTTTATATATTCAATATCTTTTGCTTCCTCCATTCTTTTACTTACACTTTTTCTGTGTATTCTATAACACTGCTTATACCAAAATGAAATTGTATGAAAGGTATGTAAGTGTACACATGCATGTATGTTTGTGTATATCTGTATGTGTGTGCATGTATGCGTGTATGCCTGTATGTATGTGTATATATGCCTGACTAGGTGGCTCACTGGCTAAGACAGTGGCTTGTTGATCGGAAAGGTCGGCAGTTCGGCGGTTCGAATCCCTAGTACAGGTCTCCTGTGTGAGCAGGGGGTTGGACTAGATGACCTCCAAGGTCCCTTCCAACTCTGTTACTGTTATATATGCAAAGCTATGTATGGTAAGAGAGTCAATGACTGGTATAGTAAACTGCCCAAAGGAGGTCATGGAGACTGCTGATGCAGAAGCTTCTCACAATATACAGAGGTTTCCATCCCAATTCCAACACCCAAGACTGTAAAGCTGGAAAAATGATGGGCAGGATCTGATGAGTGTCAAATCACTGTCCTGGATGAAATTCAGAACAACCACGAATATATCAGTTAAGACAGTATCAAAAGATGAACTGCTGAGAGACTGCTGATATGGGAAGAAGATGAAGCAGAGGAAATACCATGGAAAGACAATATAATACCCTTGATCTTGGGATGGTTTATCAATAGATAGATACCAGTGGCTGGAAAAGACTGGAGTAAAAGACAACATTGAAGCACTGATCATTACAGCACAAGAATAAGCACTATGTAACCAGATAGAAATAGGGGTCTACTATAGTAGACCGAACTCAAGGTGCAGAGCCTTAGAAACAGTCCATTACATAGTGTAAGATGTAGGCAGGAACAGCACTCACTGAATGGCACAACTAAATAGCTGGCATTATGTACAAGTACATCTGTGCAGTGTATAGTTAGACCTTCTCAAGTCCAGATGGGAGATTCCACAGAAGGTCATGGAGAATAACAGGGCTAAGACCCTGTGGGACTTCCAGATCCAGACAGGCAGGTAAGTACTCACCAATCACCCAGATATCATGATAGTAGACAAAGACTAGATGATAGATGTAGTGATAGATGTAGTGGTGCCAAGTGACAGCAACATCAGGAGGAAAGAGCATGAGAAGCTGGTGAAGTACCTAGGCCTGGAGGAGGAAGTAGAAAGAATTTGGAAAGCAAAAGTCAAAGTGATCCCAGTAGTAGTAGGAGACTCAGCCTGTGACTCCTAAAGTGGGACTTCAACAGATCCCAGGAACAACAAAAGAATACTCTGTCCAGAAAAGGGCAGTGCTGGAAACAGCTAAGATACTATGCAGAACCGTCAAACTTCCAGGCCTCTGGTAAGGAACCTGAGATTAATTAGGGATTGAAATGGAATTTGTTTGTTTGTTTGTTTCTTTGTTTATTACATGCCTATATATGTCAAGAGAGCCAACTGGCAGAATGATCACTGACCCATGAATGATGAATATCCAAGCTAAATAAAAGAACAATTACACCTCAGTCCAATAGTGACTTGTATAGAGAGGTCACCAAACCTTTTCAGAATAATTATTTAGTACCTACTGGGTATGAGAAAAGCTGAATCAGCATCGCCTTGAATAAGCACAAAATCCTCCAAAAGCCCATGGAAAGCATAACTAAAGTATTCCATCTATTTAATCACAGAATAGAGGAGGGAGAGCAGAAGTAGTTATTTTTTCTTAGATTCTCATTAATTTGGAATCCTTATAGTTGTATGACATAATTGAAGAAAAGCTCTATCGTGGTTATTTCTAATGAGTTCTTACCTTGCACTCTCATTGTTATATATTATATTAATTCAAAGCCATTTTTGTGCATACAGTAAATGTCCAATTGCATGGCAGGTGCCATTGAATTAGTATCAGAATAAAAATATGCTAGATTTCTCCTGCTGTAATAATACCAGCAAAACATTTAGAGAATTAGCATAAAGGGGCTGAATGGAATCTAATAAACCAGATTGGCAAAAATAGGAGAAGTAAAAAAGAGGAAACTGAACAAAAATATTTGTCAACAGAACTTGGTTATTTCTTAAAACAGGTGGTAAAACACCTATAATAGCAACTTCTCCATTATACTTTTCTATAATTCATATCCGAGGTTATATCAACAGAAATGAATCAATTCCAGTCAAAATTCCCCTATCTACAACTGGCTGCTCATATAGGCAGAGGATAATTTTGGTAATTTCTCCTAAATCCCACAAACATCAGAGCCATCTCATACATTCTTTTAGAAAATGGATGAGCAAGCTGTGTTTCAAAGCCCAAGCATTTTAGGCTTAGGATAACTAAAGAGACTTTCGTGTGGAATTTTGTCCGCTTATTAAAAAAAAAAAACAGGGTCAATACTATATGTCTGTAATTGGTTAGAATCAGTGGAAAAATCAGAGGTGGGTTTCAGCAGGTTCTGACCAGTTCTGGAAAACCGGTAGTAGAAATTTTGAGTAGTTTGGAGAACCGGTAGTAAAAATTCTGACTGGCCCTGCCCCCTATTCTCTGCCTCCTGAGTCCCAGCTGATCAGGAGGAAATGGGGATTTTGCAGTAACCTTCCCCTGGAGTAGGGAGGGAATGGAGATTTTACAGTATCCTTCCCCTGCCTTGCCCATCAAGTCACGCCCACCAAGCCATGCCACGCCTACCAAGCCACACCCACAGAACCGGTAGTAAAAAAATTTGAAATCCACCACTGGGTGAAATCCAAATTCTTTTATTACCGGTTCTGTGGGCGTGGCTTGGTGGGCGTGCTGTGGCTTGGTGGGTGCGGCAGGGGAAGGATATTGCAAAATCTCCATTCCCACCCCATTCTGGGGCCAGCCAGAGGTGGAATTTGCCAGTTTTCTGAACTGCTCAAAATTTCCGCCACCGGTTCTCCAGAACCTGTCAGAACCTGCTGGATTTCACCCCTGGTTAGAATATATGAGAGGGATTTCTCAGCTATAACATCTAATTTCAGGGACTTCCTGCCCACATAGTGTCATTTCCTTAAGTTTATCTGAACAAACTTTTTATCTGCATGTTAGTTAATTTTGCATTATAGTTTATATTAGTGTTTAATTTTTTTTCCTTTGGAAAACGAAAAACACAGCATATTTTGATGGGATGAAATTATGGAAATGTTTCAGTAATGAACATGTGTTATATTTTAGTCACAAAACTGCAGCAACTAATAATCTTTATGATTATAATTATAGCTTAAACTCAAAGTAATTATATAGCCAGACATAACTACAGAAATAAAATATATGAGATACAGCTTATAAATGTTTTTTTTTTTTACTATATCCACTAAATAGATTGCACATAAAACATTATTGCACTGGAGATGTAACACAGATTTAGAATATTACCCTCTAGAAGACAACTCATAACTTTTCTTTAGAGATGTAAAAATGAGCATGTAATGGATGTGTGTCAAACTAGTCTTGGCAATGTATAAAAACATTGAAAAACTTGATATCTCTTAGGTGAGTTCAGGTCAAATAACATTTCCATTTAACATTTTTTTCCTAAGGGAAGAACTTTTGCAAGCTGGTGTACCAAAATATCCATATCCTGATTACCTTACACGTACTGATATGGAACTAAGGAGAATCATAAATGCTCAGGTAAAATTGGAGATTAAATGTATATTTGCATTACTGTAGCCACAAACTGATCATCTTTATCACTATCAGTAAGTTTCAGGAACTCCTGAATTTTGGGAAATAAATTTGATATTTTTGGGAAATAATGTATTCTAACCAAGTTTTAACTATGTCATAACTACTTCACATATATATGAAATTTTGATATATTTATGCATATTTTTAAGAATTGGAAAAAGTTGCCCTACTCTCAACCAGTAGAAAAACAAATGACTATCTTTTACAGGTTATAGAGCATAATAGTAAGGATTTCAAGCCCATTAAATCTAATATAACTATTCTCAAGGCCATTTATTTTTTGGCCTTCTGTATGGGCTCTGTCTGTCAGATGCAGGGAAAAGAGAAGGCTAAAGATATTATTGTAAAATAGATTATGAAAAGATCTATCCTTCCCTTCTGCATTAATTATTTCATTGATTTTATATACATCAAATTGGTGTTGACTCTTAAACACATAGACTTTCTTATGGTATATACACTACTCATATCACAGCATAAGCAATTTGAAATGAATAGATGTACCTATGAATGAGCCATAGGGAACACTGTTTAGATATATGTTCGTTACTTAAGCTACTTATAGACAGTTCTATCCTATGGGGAGAAAATGTTGAGTGACTGCAGGTGCTATTTTAGAGTGCAGTCTGAGTCTGGGATCAGTCTATGTGACTTTACTGGCCCATATTTTAGAAACTACCTACCAGCCAGTGGTGGGTTGCTCCCAGTTTGGTCCGGTTCTTGTGAACCGGTAGTAATGGCGACAGGAGGCTCCACCCACATGCCCCAACATCATCACTGATGATCTGTGCCAGAGGTGGGTTTCAGCAGGTTCTGACCAGTTCTGGAGAACCGGTAGCGGAAATTTTGAGTAGTTCGGAGAACCGGTAATAAAAATTCTGATTGGCCCCATCCCCATCTATTCTCTGCCTCCTAAGTCCCAGCTGATCGGAAGGAAATGGGAATTTTGCAATAACCTTCCCCTGGATTGGGGAGGGAATAGAGATTTACAGTATCTTTCCCCTAGAGTGGGGTGGGAATGGAAATTTTACAGTATCCTTCCCTTGCCATGCCCACCAAGCCACGCCCACCAAGCCACGCCCACCAAGCCATGCCCCACCCACCAAGCCACACCCACAGAACCAGTAGTAAATTTTTTTTTTTTTTAAATATATTTTTTAATTATTTTTTTTCTAAAATACATCCATATTGTGTGTGAACAGAGTTGGTTCTGGGTATCGTTCACATTAATCCAATTCACAAGAATAGTATTAGTAATCTCTATCACATTTATCAAATTTAAGTAATCCTCATTATACAGTATTGTTCAAACCGATATAAGCAAGAAATGCCTAACTCCTCATCTTTATCTCTATCTTCATCTATGTCTTTCTTATTCAATCTGAACATTTCTCTATTATATATGAACAAATTTGGCTCGGTATCATTCATATTGATCCAATTTATGCTAACATTGTTAATAATCTCTATCGCATTTATCAAATTTATATAATCCTCATTGTATTATTTAAACATACCAAAAAAAAAGGAGAATGCCTAACGTCATCTCTTCTAATAATAGTATTAGCAATCTCTGTCACATTTATCAAATTTAGGTAATCCTCGTTATATTGTTCAAACATACATAAACAAAAAATGCCTAACTCCTCGTCTTTGTCTCTATCTTCACCAGTGGTGGGTTTCTACTGATTCGGGCAAACTGGTAGTGGCGGTGGTGGGAGGCTCCACCCACCCGTCCGGACGTCATCATGGACACTCTGCACCGCCCACATGTGCTCACAGCTCCGAACCGGTAGTGAAGGTCAGTGGAACCAGTGGTGGGATTCAGCCAGTTCACACCACTTTGGGAGAACCGGTTGTTAACTTTCTGAGCAGTTTGCTGAACTGGTTGTTGGAAGAAATCATTAGGGCAGAGAACCGGTTGTTAAATTACTTGAATCCCACCACTGAGTGGAACCCACTACTGATCTTCATTTGTATCTTTCTTGTTCAATCTAAACATTTCTCTATTATAGGTGACAACTCTTTTTTTTTTTATTGCAAAAGTTTTACAATTACATTTTCACCCCTTTTTTTCACCCCCCCCACCTCCCTCCCCAAACTTCCCGTCCTCCCTAACCCTCCCTAGCCCTCCCCCCAGACTTCCCTATTATATACTCATAACTAATAATACTGATATATATACCTGAACCCATCCCTCCCCCTATATAATTTTCCCTCTTTATCTCTTTACATTAAAATATTTCTAATACATTGTTTTCAAATAAAAGCTATTTGGTACTTTCTAGTTTGGTATTTGTTCTGAACATATTCTATCCACCTTTTCCATTCCCATTCATAAGTCTCTTGTGAACAATCTTTTAAATATGCTGAAATCTTCGCCATCTCTGCAAAACTGGCCATCTTCAAAGTCCATTCCTCGATAGTAGGCAAAGCTTCATTCTTCCAATATTTACCTATCAACAATCTTGCTGCTGTTATCATATACAATATTAATTTTATTTCGCCCCGTGTAAAACCCTTAACTATACCCAATAAAAACAATTGTGGAGAAAATTGAATTTTTTTCTTCAAAACGTTCTGCATGACCCACCATATTTTTATCCAAAAAGCCTTAACTTTCCTACAGGTCCACCAAACATGATAATACGTAGCATCCAAACATTCACATCTCCAACATTTTGGCTGAACATTAGGGTACATACATGACAACTTTTTAGGATCTAGATGCCATCTATAAAACATTTTATAAAAATTTTCCCTCAAATTCTGCGACTGTGTAAATTTAACATTCTGAACCCAAATTTTTTCCCATGTTTCCAACATCACTGGTTCTTCAAAATTTTGTGCCCACTTAATCATACAATCTTTAACTAATTCCGTTTCTGAATCCCTTTCTAGCAAAACATTGTAAAGCCTTTTAATATGCATTGGACCTTTCTCTCTTATATGTCTAACCAATTCTTCCTCATGCAACATAATACCAGTTTTTTGGTCCTCTTTCCATCTCAATTGTAATTGATTATATTGTAACCAGGTTAAATTAATCCCTTCGTCCAACAGTGTCTGCAATGTCTTCAACTGCCATCTGCCCGCATCTGTAAAAAGAACCTCTTTGTATAAAAACCCCCCGAGTGACATTATATTTGTATTCCACAAGGTATGACCAAGATCCAGCTATAGCGGTATTTTATAATCCCATTTGAGTCGGTGCTTCTTCCAAACTCTCATCAAAGAGTCTCTAAGTATATGACTTTTAAATACTTTATCAACTTTATCATCATAAAATAGGTAGGCATGCCATCCAAATTCAAGATCAAAACTTTCTGCATTCAATATTCCAGCCTTTTTACTTCCAAACCAATCGCTTGTTAAAGTTAAAGCTGCTGCATCATAATATAACTGTAGGTTTGGAAGTTTAAGGCCTCCTCTTTCTGGAACATCTTGCATAATTTTCAATTTCACTCTCGGCTTTTTCTCGTTCCAGACAAACTTATTAAGTCCAGTTTGCCAGACTTTCAGTTGTTTATCACTTTTAAGCACCGGAATCATTTGAAACAAAAACAGAAATCTTGGCAAAATGTTCATCTTAACTGCTGCTATTCTTCCAAGTAAAGACAGTTGCAGCTTTTTCCAAGTCTCCATGTCTTTCTGAACCTCTCGCCACAACACCTCATAATTATTTTGAAACAATTTCATGTTTGATTCTGCAACCTGAACTCCAAGATATTTTACCTTAGGTACAATTTCAAAACCTGCCCTCCTTTCAAACTCATGTTTACGATCTTGTGTCATATTTTTGACTATCATTTTAGTCTTTTTTGAGTTCACTCTAAAACCTGAAACTCTACCATAGTCTTGTATAATGTCGTTCATCAAGATTATTGAATCCATTGGTTGTGATAGGGTAACCACCAGATCATCTGCAAATGCCTTTATTCTATAATCCTCTTGCCTTATCATTATGCCTTTCAAAGTTTTTGAGTCCCGTATTATATTTAGCAAGACTTCCAGTGTTAAAATAAATAAAAGTGGGGACAACGGACATCCCTGTCTTGTTCCTTTTTCAATTTTAAACTCTGTCGTCAAACTTCCATTAATAATAATCTGTGCTTTTTGCTCTTGATAAATTGCTGAGGTCGCCTGTATGAATTGGTCCCCAAAGCCCATCTTTTTTAAAGTCTTTAGTAGAAAATTCCAATCCACTCTGTCAAAGGCCTTCTCCGCATCCAGAAAAACCAGCACTGCAGAAATCTGTTTATTCTTATCAAGATATTCCAATAAGTCTATTACTTGCCTTACATTGTCCTTCATATATCTGCCCTCAATAAATCCCACTTGATCCTCATGAATCACCTTGAAATGAATAGATGTACCTATGAATGAGCCATAGGGAACACTGTTTAGATATATGTTCGTTACTTAAGCTACTTATACACAGTTCTATCCTATGGGGAGAAAATGTTGAGTGACTGCAGGTGCTATTTTAGAGTGCAGTCTGAGTCTGGGATCAGTCTATGTGACTTTACTGGCCCATATTTTAGAAACTACCTACCAGCCAGTGGTGGGTTGCTCCCAGTTTGGTCCGGTTCTTGTGAACCGGTAGTAATGGCGACGGGAGGCTCCACCCACATGCCCCAACATCATCACTGATGATCTGTGCCAGAGGTGGGTTTCAGCAGGTTCTGACCAGTTCTGGAGAACCGGTAGCGGAAATTTTGAGTAGTTCGGAGAACCGGTAATAAAAATTCTGATTGGCCCCATCCCCATCTATTCTCTGCCTCCTAAGTCCCAGCTGATCGGAAGGAAATGGGAATTTTGCAATAACCTTCCCCTGGATTGGGGAGGGAATAGAGATTTACAGTATCTTTCCCCTAGAGTGGGGTGGGAATGGAAATTTTACAGTATCCTTCCCTTGCCATGCCCACCAAGCCACGCCCCAC